ATATATACCACATCTTTATCCATTCATCCGTTGATGGACATCTAGCCTCTTTCCATAGTTTGGCTATTGTGGATAATGTTGCTATAAACATTGGGGTGCAGGTGCCCCTTCGGATCACATTTGTGCCCTTTGCACTAATTTCTGATGTTCTATATCTCGGTAACTTTTGCTTTTCCTGCATGGCACTTAATTTGAAATTAATTTGTGAGGCTGATTAACAAATGTCTCCATTACACTGTAAGGAAGCTCCATGAGGGAAGGAAATAGTATCTGTTTGGCTTCCTGTTTTAAATCCCCAACACCTAGTACAAACTAGGTACTTAAAAGGTTTCTTCAACATTTAAGAATTTCTTTTCTAATTTGTTTTGGATAGAAACTTCTTTTATCAATATGTTTACAGCTAATTAGGATAAATGTAATAAGTTTTGTAACAGGCTTAAACAACTTGTTTCCAGTTATTTGAAGGATTAAAAATAATAAAAGTGTATTAACAAACAGTACTTTTTTGCACAGATTTCTTAAGAAAAACAATGCTTCTAGGTACAAAGTTTGTCTGCTACAGTTTAATTCTATTTTTTTTTTTTAAAGATTTTATTTGTCAGAAAGAGAGAGACAGAGAGCACAAGCATGGGGAGCGACAGAGGGGGAGGGAGCAGACTCCCCGCTGAGCAGCCCGATGTGGATCGATCCCAGGACTCTAGGATCATGACCTGAGCCAAAGGCAGACGCCCCAACTGACTGAGCCACCCAGGCGTCCCTACAGTTTAATTCTAAAGTAAATGATGGAGTGGAAGTCAGGGGAGGTATAAGCCAGCAGAGTTAAATGGTTCAGATATAAACAAGGAAAAACCTCCAGATAATCTTTCAATTCAATTTCATGTTTTTTTAAGTTTATTTAAGTAATCTCTACACCCAATATGGGACTCAAACTCACGACCCCGAGATTAAGAGTCGCATGCTCTTCCAACTGAGGCAGCCAGGCACTCTTTCACTTTCATATTTTTACACAATTTCTACCTGTATAGCAATTTAGGGGACTTGATGATCTTACAAAAGATTAGTATCATCAAATCTTTTTTCCCAGAAAAATTCATATGTATACAAGAATTAGATTTGTATTTTTTTCATTACAATGATTATAGAAAAATGTTTCTCATGAAACTTCATTTCCCCAAGATACTAGTCACCTATTTTCAAATTTCCAAATCATATAGCCAACTATCAGTAAAATATAAAAAACCTCAGGTAAGTTTCAAACGCAGTTTGTCTTAAAGTTCAGTTCACAAAAACCCCAAATAGTTAATTCTGTCTCTTGATGGGTAGTATTTATAAATAAGATTGGAAAACCTGTCCAGGAGAGAAAGAGAAAGATATAGCCAAATTTTTTATCTAGCATGCTGTGTTCTGTATTTTCCTCGTTTAATCATTCTGCAAATTAGCAAATTAAAAGCTCCAAGAAACGAGTTCAACTTGCTTTAAATGCTTTCCAAACTTATTTGATGACAGAACTTAGAAATATGCCTCAAAACCATAGTTATCAAACATAATTTTGAGAATTGCCAGTCTGGCTGCATTAACCAACTAGTCCAGAATCCTATTAAAAATATAGAACCTTGACTTGTCCCATAACTTCTGGTGACCATTAACAGTTCACAAGCCAGCCATTTAATAAATTCATTTTAGAATCTTATCAAGAGTTGATGCGTTTTATCTTATAATTTGCAGAATCT